AGGAATTGGGAAAACCTGCTAGCCTGTGCAAGATTTATATTACTGGTCAAATAATGATGTAACAATAGGGATTATTTCAGAAATATTAGTCTACTCAAAATAATTATTAACTGTAAGCAAAATTATATTTTGATACATGCATGCCTAGAAATACCTTTACAGTTTTTTTCAAATTTCACTGATTTTTTTTTTCACCTTTACTGTTTTTTCAATGTAATACATATTTTATAGGGCCCATAAAAATTATGTTTTTTTCCTGTTTGCAGAATGTCTATCTTTACCAAACCGTTGTACTTACTGTTATTCCTTTTGTTTTGAATATATTTAACCTAATGTTTAGTGACAGAGCGCTGAGTATATAATTCCTAAATATTCTATTTAACTTAATGCATGAAACATGCCCATGTTACCCCCCTGGCAGCTTAGCCTTGGCATTTATGTATTACAGTCGACTGGTTTACATTAGCTTTCAGTTTCTAAATGAACCTATCTAGGCCCCTGTAGTGATCATGGCTTACCTAGCATATGATTATGTACAATAAATATTTAAATTGGTTATTTCAGGTTGGTTGCTATGGATAAATATGTAAATCAAATATGCAAAGAGAGTCTTAAAAAGCAATATAAAATATTTTACTTAGTTCAGCACAAGATGATTCACTGGCTATAGAAATGAATAAGGAATGCCTTGAAACCTCACAAATGAATTCTTGATGAGAAAGGTAAATGATGAATACAGGTCCAAGCTGAAGATCTTGAAAGCATTTGAGGGTATATATTAATTGTCATCCAATCAAATCCATAAACACTGTAAAATATAAATAGAACGTTGCAAACATACTTACTAGAACTACCCAGATGTAATAGAGTTGCAAAAATAACTGACACATTCTATGAGTCTCAGTTTTGTAGGTAATGAATGCTATGCCATTATGGGACACAAGTCTTCCACTTTAACCTTTAAATATACAAAATTCAACAGAGACTGGAATTATGTACATGCTAATCATAACCAGTGTAGCCTCCCCATATTTTCCTTTAAGGGCTTACTGCAACGGTTTTTCAAATTATATATTACTAATAGGGGCATTACTAATAGGTTGTCCCCTTAAAATCTGTAAAAAGGTTTAAAACTTATATGCAGTCTAGCTCTGTACAAAGTTCTCAGCACTGACCTCCCTCCTCCACATGACACCATGGTAGCCCTTGTGCTACCAGGCTTCTCATGGAGAATTTAGTGATTGGACTGCTTTGCTGGCTCAGAGTATTTTGAGCGGCTAACTGGGAAGGAGTGCGCAGTGGAAGGGAAGGAAGTAGGGGATAACAAGTTTCCCTGTCCTGCCTGCAAGGGAGAAGAGTATTACATCTGTTGTCAGAGCTCTGTGCACGCTGATGACAGACATAAAATATGCACGGAATTGACATTAGGCAGCATGGACCAGAGTTCTGGGCTGCCTAAGTCACATGTGTCTGCAGTATTAGTAGTATAAAAGTGCAAATAACTCTGAATGTGCAGTGTGTCAAACATAAACACTGCATATCCAGGCTCCTAATGCTACAACCACTTCAAATTTCTGACCTTGGAATAACCGATAAACTGGAAACCTTTACTTATACATGTGTGGCATCAGACCAGAGAAAGGATTTACCTAGTAAAGATGACTGTACAAGCAGTTGTAACAATAAAGAAACCAGCCAATTATCCACAGGAGGAAATCTCCATATTTAGAAAGATAAAGGACAATGTGTCAGAGCTCCAGATGATATGATTGTTCTCAGATCACCTGTAACTTGTTCACAATCACTAGAACATTAAGAAATGAACCATTCCAGGGAACAGAAGTAGAATATTAGCTGGGCAATAGCTCCCTACTTCCCAGCTAAAATCTGAACTATTTTTGGAAGAACCAATGGGGATGGTAGGGAGCTATGAAGAGTATTACTTGTCAGAGGTGGGACATGGCAGTCTAAAACCAAAGCTCCTAAACTGCAGCTGCAATCCACATGACATCTCAAACCAACATTATTAAAATGGATTGCCGTCAAAATAGCAAACAACTCCTCAACTTCAAAGATGGACAGGGTTCTCCTGTCCCCCTTTGATCTAAACATTTTCCATTAGAGAGTATGTGCTCACACCATTGCACCTGATTTCCTCACAGAAAACACATTTTTTTTAAATGCGCATGTGATAAAAGACATATTTATCATACAGCAGTACTGTCATGCCAAACTTACCTTTCCCCAACCGCTTCATCTTCTCTCCCTCTGCCAGGATCTGTTCATCTTATCTTCCTATTTGATCTAGTTTTCTTTAAAACATAAGACAAATAGCGACTACTTTGTCTTATGTTGGGACTACTTTGTCTTATGTATTTTCCTATGGTTGTACAGCTTTGATTCAAGGAGGAGCTTAAGTCCTCTCCATTTCAACAGCATGAGTACAGTTTGTTCATTAGTGGTAGGACGAAATTTGGTACTTTATATTCAGATTAAAATTTCATTCAAAATGAAGGGAATTCCAATCCAATTTATGCCGCAGTAGATAGCTCCCTAATTTCCATGGTATTAGGGAGCCATCTCCAAAAATACTGAAATACCAAAATTGATCTTTCAGCCAAATTTACTAATACTAAGTAAAGATTAAAATCTCCATTCTGCCCCTACTTGCTATACCGTGAGTAGGGGGCATGTCTACTAAACAGTGAGCAGTCAGTGGCTCCTCTCCCTCTATTGTCATTTAGGGCCCCGTAAGCAGCGGGTGGGGGCTGTGTGGTACAGTACAATAGGTTGCCCCTCCTTTTGAAACTTAAGGCCTCCACCCATGAGCCGGTCCCCTGTTTAGTTTAGTGGCCCCCACTCATTGTGCACGAGTGGAGCCTTAGGGGGATACTGTACGGAACACGCGCCCAATCATAACGTTCTGCATAAGCGGCTCGGCTGGAGGCAGTACAGCTCTGATTGGACCAGATAGGTTAGCCTTCGCTCCTCATGTGCATGAATAAGAATAGGTGCCCGTGACTTAATTGGACACTGATTCACTAGTTATACATCCTTGCACCTCTTTTGGTAGATAATAACCACTGCATGCCGGGAACCATATTGCCATTTTGGAGATGCTCTGACCAGCACTATTTGGCCATTGTGAAAGTTACTCACATCTTTTCTGATGCCCATTTTTCCTGCTCCCAACACATGAAATTCAAGAACTGACTGTTCACTTGCTGTCTCATATATCACACACCATGACAGGTGCCATTGTAATGCTGTATTCAATGTTATTCAGTTTACGTGTCAGAGGTTTTAATGTTGTAACTGATCAGTCTATATGAATGCATTTTTTTTTTATCTTCTTATTTCATTATTTTTGTTTCACTATTTTTTCAATTGCATCCCTTTCTTTAGTTGTCCAGCATATGTATATCTAGGAAAAAATGTATAAACATTTCTGTCAAAAAAGAAAAGAACAATCAATGGAAGGAAAACTATTACTACACAAACCTTACAAAATTCTTGTGATGGACACAATCCAATGATTTTACAAATGCAATATGTTTGCAGTCAAAATGCATTTTGTTTCCCGTAATCCACTTCCAGTCCCTTAGCCACAAATGTAATCCCTTTAGTACCAGTGTGTGAGCCATGCTGCCAAGAAGTAGCTTCACACAAAATAGCTGGCATAACCTATTTTACAGATTTGGTGATATGAATCACCTCCAACCAGTCTCTAAATTCAGACAAAACTATAACAGGATTTAAAGTTGGCATGCCAATTGACTTTAGGGTGAAGTTTAGTTTGCATTATGTATATATGCATGAGTACAACTATACAAAAAGTAGAATACGTCCCTCCATTTTAGCCGGGGAATGCAGGAAAGCACTGTGCTGGGAATTGTCAAACAGGCATTGAAAAGAAAAACTGTAGGTAATATAAAAAGCAGTTTTTCTCTACTGTTACATGCAAAAAAATATTATTCTGATTATTCCAAGACTCTCGATAGTGTGTATTCTATTTTAATATTGTGCCTGGAGTGTTTCTTTAAGACACTCAAATGTAATTTGTAGTATTGTTACAGTATTGTAGCAAATGTGTGTCATCACCAGCGGAGGACAATGGACCTATAACACGGTAGGTAAGCGTTTAGTACTTGTCAATCGTTTCCAAAAACAAACAGGGGAATGCTTTTTACAAAATTGTGTATCTTTTCCATCCAGCACTCATATGGTTAAGGATAAAACCATTCATCTCCTTGAGTCTAGGTCATGAGACGTGGAGCTGCCTTAACTGCTGATGATGCTCTCTCATCTTTCTTGGTTAAAAGAAGGACTGCACTCTCCCAGAGGGATACTCAGACTAAGACTGGGGGATAGCAACAACGCTTCTGTATTTTTACTCTTGCAGCCCTTCTTGACCCCGACTTTTCTCAGAGGATCTAAAGTTTGGCTGCAAAAGCCCACTTTATGAGCAACTTTCTGACATCTCTTTTCAAAGGAAGTGAATTCTTAATCACAGTCTTTGTAATTGAGCCTTGGGATCTCAGGAACTTGCAGCTGCGGATGTAAAGTGTTTGCTCAGAGTCTTCGTTTTCGGAGCATCTGCTAAATTGATAATTGTGAATTGACAGCTGAAGAGCAAAGTTGTGCTGGTATTTAGGCGACAGGTAGTACATGCAGATAGCAAAGATCATCAAGCTTAAGAAAATACATAAAAAAATATATATATATATAATCAGAAAGCTTCTCTTTCATTCTTGACGTTCGTGTCTCTCATACAAATGAAGTGCGATTTAACATTAAAGCATAAAATGTGACGGCAGATAAGAACCATTCTTCCCATCTAGTCTGCCCAATTTTCTAAATCCCTGTCCTTATCTTATAGTTAGGATAGCCTTACGCCTATCCCATGCATGCTTAAACTCCTTTACTGCGAAAATTGTGGTCTGAGAGAGCTTTTTGCTGGCTGGCTGGACGCTTAAACGAGCACTGGAGAGAAAAGCAACTGGCCTGTGTGGGGATCGAGCCCACGGTCTCGGCATTATTAGCACCACGCTCTAACCAACTGAGCTAACCGGCCACAATGAGATAGCCACTAGATTAACCCATATGTAAACATAGCGTTTCTCTGAAACTGCTATGTTTACAGCAGGCAGAGTTAACCCTAGAGGGACCTGGCACCCAGACCACTTAATTAAGCTGAAGTGCTCTGGGTGACTATAGTGGTCCTTTAATAAAATCCCCATAGGAAAGCATTGAAGCACTCACCACGTATGCATATAAGCCTTCCCACTCCCCCCTGTCGGATGCCGCTAGAGGAGGTGGAGCGCCGGCACATTGTGAATCAGGTGAGTACGCAAAGAGTTTATTAACTCTTTTCATGCAGTGAGGAGGGCCAGAGGGGAACTATAGTGTTAGGTATACAGCTTTGTATACCTTATACTATAGAATCCCTTTAAATAGTGTGAACACGTTTGCAACCAGAATGGCCCATGGCATGAATACAGAATTGGGCAATTCCATGTGACTATATATAGGGCCATTTGGATTGCAAAATCTGGACATTCAGACTTTAATGAATAACCTGGCTTAGCTTACTGCTGTATCCAGGTAGCTAGTGACTGCCAATAGAACTGGAAACAACTTTTAATGGGAGATTGCTTGTGCTATTGATCCTAGTATGAGACAAGGTGCCTGACAGGGTTTAATTTACTGCAGTATCTATCTACCTAGCTAGAAGTTAGCAGAACTTAACATTTAAGTTTGAGTAGGGGATAGGAGTTAACTATTAGTACAAAGTAGAAGTGTATTGTTCAGTAAAAAAAACAACAACTTGATATGTCACAGGGGCACTTACACAAACTTTGAGTGGTAGATTGCTTTCTTCATTTATCCTAGCATGATACTGCTTGTTATAGTTAGTGCAGTGCCCTACTGCTAGCCACTACCACTTAACACCAACTTGGAATCTTCAAATAAGTTTTTTTGTTAACTATTTGTAGAAAGAAAAAAAAAAGAAAAAAGGAAAAATAGTAGCTTGCATAGCTACTTCCACAGTGACATTCAGACAAATTTTGAGCACTAGATAGCCTATTTAATTCATCCTAGCGTGATACTGATGGTTACGGTTAGTGCATTGGCCACTAAACACCAGTTTGGAATCACCAATTTATTGTTTGACAGTTTTGTTTTTTACGAGTATTAATAAAAAATCCTATTTTTGAGTGAATGCTTCAAGTGGTGTCCCTAAATTCAACTGAAAATGCAACCTATTGACTAATCCAGATTTAATATTATTGAACACCCTAAATAGAATCCCTTATAGCACCAAAAATATGCAAAACAAGTGTTGTCTCAAGCACACCTGATGCAACTAATCAAGGGCTTCATTGAGCTTGAAATACCTGAACTGGTAGGGGTTTGTTGAGTGCATGGTTTGCAAGTTAAAAGTTGAAGGAATAGTGGTTACACTACCTAGACAGGAAAGAAAGAGAAAGCCATCAACGGCTGCAACTAGATTTGCTGAGAAGGTAGGTTGTGAAAAGTCCTTGACTGACTACAAAAGACCTGCAGCAACACTTGGTGGCAACAGGCACTGAGGTTTCAGTGAGCACATACTAAACACAGAAGGTTTGCATGCAAGAACTCGTACACAACTACTGACCCAAACGGACAAGAAAGGTCAGCTCCAATATGCTCAAAATCCTAGAAATAAGCCACAGAAGTTTGGTGATTCTTTTCTGGGGACTGATGAAACAAAACTAGACCCAAATAGATCAGCAGTATGTCTGGAGGAAGAAGAGTGAAGCATATGCTGAAAAGAACACTCTGCCTACAATTAAGTATGGTGGTGGCTTGGTGATGCTCTGGGGCTGCTTTGCATCCTCTGGTACTGGAAACCTGCAGTGTGTGGAAGGCAAGATAGATTCATTAAAGTATCAGGAAATTGTAGGAGAAAGCATCATGACGTCTATGAGGAAGCTGAATCTTGGGCATCATTGGACAAGCATTTGTTGTGTTGAGCCATTTCAAATGCTTTTGTTTGATTTGTTCATTGCAAGAGCTGAAAGTCTGTACATTTTGACAATAAACTTGATTTTCAATGGGCGTTGAATAATTGTGATTGCAATTGTGAAATAATTTGATTTTGCCAAGTCCTCACTTTTCTTTTGAAACATCCATGATTTGGGGGCAAGGCCTGAGCAGCACAGCGGCTTGAAGTGCTTCCTACAAGTTTCCAGCCTAAATCTTTCAAAACAGCTGATTACTTAACTACCTGCAAGACACATTGACTAAATTTGTGCAAACACAACTTCTGAAAATAGTTGGAGTGCCCTGACGATAACAGTTAAATGCCTTCCTTGGATTTGCTGGAATCTCCAGCATGGCCTCTTACTGCTGGACAGGAGAGGCAGCTGATCCCCCGTCCTGGGTGACGCTGCGCCCTCAAGGGGATATTCTAAGGTCCTGTTGCCCTTCCTCTGGGCTGGCAGGGGTCATACCGGTCCCACCTAGCAAGCACTTACCTCACCATCGCTCCTGGGCGACTACTCAAAAGGGAACTGCAATGTGGTCTCTCCAAAATGGTGGATGCCACAGAAACCATCCAAAGCTGGGAAGCTACTTTCCACACAGCGTTTGAAGCAATATGTCAGTGGTTTTGGAGGAGCCTGGAGGCAAGGCAGACAGATCTTGCTTTACCCACTCCCAAGAAATGGCAAATACCCAAAGCGATTCGGTGCACTCCTCCAGGCAGGGAGCCAAGAAGGGCCAAGTACCCCCCCGCAGTCCACACACCAGGGTGAAACACCTAGGATCCCGATGCACCCTTCCAGAGCAGGTGAGAGGCTGCATGGATGGCACGAATCCTATCAAGTACAGAGTGGAACCTAGCCTGACCACTACAGACATAGGGTGACGAGACGACATTCACAGATCACTTGCTCAGTGAGCTTACACAAGCTGTTGCCTTTGCCAAAAGCCACTGCCTCTGCTTACACTCCACCACAATCTGCCTCTTGTCTATCCTGTTCCCCCTCCATGGTATAAAACAAACAGGGCGCATACTCTGTGCCCAGAATATCTACTGCTTGGTGGCCCTTTACTCTTGAATATTATCTGTGATGTCAGCATGCCTACTTGTTTATCTTTACTACTTTTGCTTGTTTCTGCCCTGACTCACATGTATATCTATTTTCTATTAATTCTCCTTAGCATGCACCCTCTCAAGTCTTATGTTTAGACCTATAGTTTAGCTTGCCTATTAAATTTTAAAAAGTGCAATTCTCTCATGTCACAAACGTGGGCTATATGCCCAGCCGAGACAGTGGGAGAGAGTGTGGAAGTGACAGGGTTAGTGACACCAGACCCCTGGTTACCTGTTGCTAGTCCCAGCAACCACTCAATTAACCCATGCAATCCCTTCTACACTAACCCCCTAGTACACACTTTACTGCCCCCACCAAGACTTTAAACCCGGGCGTCTTAGCTTACCCCACACACAGCAGAATTATAGAATCACAGTTCTACTTTTACTGATCAAACACATATAATTAACCCTTTTTGGTAACGTGAAATAAAAGAATATGTAAACAGAGTGGGAGAAAGAAGACAAAAACAGCTCAAGTACACCTAAAAAGTGGTATCCCCTACACCACTATAAATACATAAAAATACATACAAAACAATAGGCGGAGCTGTATAAAATCTTGAATAATCTGTAAAACAAAATTAAATATACACAAAATAGCGTAGTATGTCTGTACAATGATATGAAGTAAGAAGAAAAATAATTAAACTCACAAGACCAGAGTCATACCATCATATGACTCTAAAGGTATGCTTCTTTGGACCATTTGGGGGTTGTCCAAACCCTTTTGTTGCCGGATTCTTAATGTTCCCCCTTGTGTTTCTTTGATAGGTCTCCCAAGGAATACCAGATATTCAGATGGTCCTGGGTAGGTAGGTAAGCCCCTGCTTCTAGTAGCTCTATAGAGTTCAAAGTGAATTTACATTTTTAAGCAAAAATCGCTGATCTCAATTCCACAACTCGGCTGTTTTGCCCAGATCAGCTATTTTACTGTAGATTTTAATTTCCTAAGCAAGAGTTTGAGATTCCCTTTGAAATCATGACAATTCACACTTTAGTGCACCAACCTAAAAATCAAATGTGATACTACAAACTCATGCTCTTACAGAGATAGTGGCAATTGACTCGAACTCTCACAGGACGGCAAGGAGAGGCATCCAAATATGTTCACTTCGGAAGTAGCCACCATCTACAGTAAAATAGCTGATCTGGGCAAAACAGCCGAGTTGTGGAATTGAGATCAGCGATTTTTGCTTAAAAATTTAAATTTACTTTGAACTCTGTAGAGCTACTAGAAGCAGGGGCTTACCTGCCTACCCAGGACCATCTGAATATCTGGTATTCCTTGGGAGACCTATCAAAGAAACACAAGGGGGAACATTAAGAATCCGGCAACAAAAGGGTCTGGACAACCCCCAAATGGTCCAAAGAAGCATACCTTTAGAGTTGTTGTAGAATTATTAGGCCTCTATAAATTTGTAAGGCCCCTTTAAATCCTCTTGCTATACCTCTAAGAGGCCCCCATAGTTTTACAAGGAAGCTTTGTCTATAGAACATAGAATTTGCATGTCAGCAAGAAATAGCTTTGATAAAATGTGTATTTACTAAAATCCTTGAAACTTAACCTTGAGAAACTAACAAGTGCCAGCTACGCTCCAAATGGATAGCTGCCAAAAGGCCCCTCCCGTCGAGTGAGCTCCTCATTTTAACAAAATGGCGCTAAGACCTGTAGGAGTTAAGAAATTACGTAGATAGTGACCTAAGAATGGGGAGGGCATTTTACTAACATCTTAGCACCTAAGCCAATTAACAATGTCTATTTGTCTATATCTTGATTTTCTTCAATGATGTAATAATGCCTTTATAAGGGTCTGCGCACCCATTTTCTGTCAGAAGCCATTAAACTTCTCTGAAGTTCTTTCATTACCCTGAACCTTGTGTCTCAGTGTGAATTTACTTCTGCGTGCACGCAACTTTATTATCTTTAATTT